AGAAATCTAAGTAGCAACAGTAGGTTAAAAAGATATATTAGGTAATTTATCAAATTAATAAATAAGAGCCAAGTAATTGTTAATAGCCAAATTAGGTATATATTGTTAATAATGAGTACGTAATAGCAGAGTAATCACAAGCATAGTGCAGTAGGACCCCGAAATATATATAGATAGGTAAAGTATGAGTTTGCTTATTTTTGAGGTTTTTTGTGCAGATCATTTCCTTTTATAGTAATTTTTTTACTTATTTTTGAGGTTTTTTCAGCTTTTTACATAGTTTTATAATTAACCTTACCTATCTAAGTATATTTCGGGGTCCTAGTGTAGTACTATATAATTGGCTTACTATGTAAGACTTTTAAAATTTTGTTGATCAATTTATTAATAGGGCGATAGTACTGTATATAATTTTATAATAACTTTATTCATCTATGATATATTTTAATATATGTACAAATTTTTTAAAAAAAAAATAATATATATATATAATTCGTATTTGGTAAATAATAATAATGAATAAAAAAAAAAAGCTTTTCATATTATTTTTAAAAAAAAAAACCTTCTTATATTATTCAAAAAGAAAAAAAAAAATTTTTAACCAATTTTAAAGAGTAAAGAGATCAAGAAGATTAATATTCTGATCTTGGCTTAGTGTCTTTTTGGCAAGGTCAGTTACTTTTGGATGATTCTTTAAGATAATACTGCCTTTGACTCTTGAGGCAATTATTTTTGTAGCTTTTTCTGAACTTGATTCATTTGTTGCAGGTTTATTCAATCTATTTAACCAAGGAATGTTAGTTAAACTTTTTGCATTAATTGGTTTTTGATATTCACAGAAGTTTATACCATGGAGATGAACAATAAAAGCATCCTCATTAACTAAGAGTTCCCTATTTATAAAAAGAGTAGAACCTTTTTTTATTGCAATAAAAGTTGGAGTTAGATGTTAAGCTAACTTTGGGTAGTAACATTCTAGTTTAAGACTAGTATGATCTTGATCTATAAAGTTTTTTGTTTTAACAATTAATATAATATTATCTTGATTAGAATCATTTTATAGAGGTTCAAGCATAATAGCAGTCATGTTTATTAGAAGAGAAAATGCAGGCAAATTACTTGGATTAATAAAAAGTTAAATAATATGATGTATAATAATCTAAAAAAAATTTTTTCTTTGAGAAAAAAAAAATTGCAAGTTCACAGAGATTTAGATTTATTATTGATATTAGACATGCCTTTAAAATAGGAAATTTTTTCTAGATTTATCTACATCTTCTATGAATTGAAATTTTCTAGATACTAGAAATACATCTTTGGAAGAAAAAGTTGTTAAAGTTGGATCCGAGGTTTCATTATTTTGAGAATAAAACCCAACCAAGAGAATATTTAAGGGAAAATGCTGTTTTTGAGATGCATTACCCCAGCAACTATAACTATAGTGTTATAATGCTATAGCCTTTTTAGTATAATTATAGCATAGTAACAAGGTTACCTGGTGCAGTGATATACTTTATAAATATACACGGGTGGATGTGAAGTATTTACTTTTACTTCACAGCAGGAAGCAAACGGTTCAAGATAATAACAATATATAGATAATAATATTTATTAAGAATAAAATCACGGTGATAACCTTGCCTGCAGGATTTACCCTAGAGGGAGAATATCACACTTTACAAATGTAGTAAGAGGTAATATTCTATAAGAGGGTAGGGAACTCTAACTTGGATAGAAGGGGCAAGGCTCCCTTTTTATAACTTTTCTACAGATAGAAGTATAATGATATAATTGTAGAGGCACTTTAGAGGCATCGTGTGGAGGCATATTGGATGTACTCATACAGAGGCACTTTGGATGCACTTGTGCAGATGCACTTGTGTAGAGACACATTGGGTGCACTCGTGTAGAGGCACATTGGGTGCACTCATGTAAAGACACATTGGGTGCACTCATGTAGAGGCACTTTGGATGTATCCATGTTGCATGCTATTTTATTTAGCCGCAGCACTACTGTGCCATATTCTTTACCCAATAGAATAACTAAATATAATTAACTATATCTATAATATATATGTTTTAACTAATATAAATATATAATAACTAATGTGATAATAAATATACAATATATGAAAGATTTTCTACTATGTTACTCTGTGTTACAACTCACTTTGTAACATTTTTCTCCTCTTAAGAGTTTACTCTGTAAACTCTATACTTGACTTTCACAGAAAGTTACTAACTCTTTAAATGACTTCTTTCCAATATCATTAAAGTCCTTAATTTTAATAGTCTAGGTCCTGTAAATATGGTCATATCCTTGTGCATAAAATAAATAGAAAACCTGTTTAAATATTTTGGTCTGGGTCCTTCTAATAGAAGTATTAAGTTTATCCAGTTCGTTCCTATAATACTATAACATTGCTCCCAGATAGAATGCATAAGCCAGGGCATGAATCCTGAGGTGGTCCCTGGGAATAGTCCAGTCAGTACGGCTAGTTACTGCTTTATACTAGACAAGTATTAACTTAAACTGCTCACTTGGGTTATCATCATCTGCAATAGTAACTGGGAATATTTGGTCATTTCCACGTGGCAGAAGATCGGCCTTCCATTTTCTAAATAGATTAACAGATATGGTATTTTGATTGTTGTTACCTGCAGAGATAGTACAAGCATAATCACCTTGCATGATTGTTGTGATTCCTGGATCGACAATGATTGTCCCTATGTATTGTAACTGAGTACAAAGGTGTTGAAGTTCACACACTTTGTCATGGACTTGATAATTTAGCCAAGTAGGATAAGTAGTCATTTTGGTATAATTTTTAGAAGGTTGTTAAAGTGGAAGTAGTTTGGAGGTTGTTGGGATTAAAGCTAAGGAGGGTAGATTCTTGTTCTTTAAATATTTATTAAAATATTTATTCGTGCTTTGAGTTTGAAACGGCTTTTCTATTTTGTTAAACCCATGCTTGTTTTTTGTGTATCCCACATGTAACGATTTGTTTACATGTGTTTTTATTCTGTGATTCCTACATGTTTTGCATTTGTTTCAGCTACATGCTTGGCAAAACTTGGCAAAATTTCC